AAATAAAAGACTCGAAAACACAGAGCAGGTACAATGAGAAGTCTGTACTGGGCAGCAGGGATTCAGTGCACTGGAAGTCTGCCCAGATAAAAACAAAGTATCCAAAAAAAATAAAGGATTGGTCTGAAAAACAGTGGGAACAAAAGAGCTGGAACACTCGCTGAAAGGAACAACGAGGGACAGGTGAAAACAATCAGGGCGGGAAACACAAAAGGGCAGGAAGTAAAGTATCTGAGAGAAGAGACCAAGGTGAGTGTACCAAAATAAAACAGGAAGTGATAACTGGAAACGAGAACAACACAACCTGAGAGGAGCAGGTGATTACCGGCAGTGACAGGATACCTGATGTATTCCTCACTTTGAGTCTTTGTTTGTGTCATAATGGCAAAATGTGAGACACATATAGTAGCAGGGACTGATGGAAAGCCGAATGTGCCAATAAACGCCTCTATTTTCAGCCGATTTAGCGGAGACAAACAAAACGTTGCTTTTTATATCGATCTACTGAGAAACTTTAAAAAGCACTTTTTTTCGGGACCTAAAAGCAGTCAAAGCATTAACTTAAGTCGCCCGGTGTAAAAAGCGTCATTTTCTTGGTAAATAAACTGAAAATAGAGGCGTTTAATGTCACTTTTATCTATCCATAGGGACTACTGACGAGGTATTGAATACTTTGCCAGGTGTTTATATTTCTGTCCGTCTGTGTGAATAGATTTAATCACATTATTCAACACATTCTCATGTTAATGCATCAAATAGTGACACTTGGTGAGTGATCCTAAGCTTCAAACAACGAGCCCTTTAGGGTCAGTTTTGGACCTGTCAGGGACAGCGTGACAGTTTCCAATTCATAGTGTTTATTTCAAAATATACTTTTCCTCTTTACAGGAAGTTTAAGTTGAGGCAAAAAACCTGCTTGATTAGATTTAGGGAAAGAACTGGGTTTGACATGAACTTGACCAACGACACCCCCAGCTTGTGTGGACCATCTCACACTTCACACTACGTCAGTCGCTCTGAGCCTGTAAGGACGTGGGTGTGTCAACACCGAAGCTAGTTGCAAACCCAAACGATGCCTCCGTGCGTCGGCGTCAGACGCCGAGGAGCGCTGACCCAGCTGCAGTGTTTGACGCGTATGGAATGAGGAGGCGTGCAAATTTTGATCAAACTTAAGGTTGAGTGTGAAGAAGAGCGGGGGTCCGAGCAAGCGGAGAACCTGTTTGAAGCTTCCCAGCTCATGTTTCGGTGCTTCTCTCTCTGTCTGCATCCATCTTTTTGTCTCTCTGTTTCCCTCACTGTCTCTTCCTGGCAGTTTCTCTCTCTCTCTCTCTCTCTCTTCACCTTCCTTCTTGCTCTTTTGCTCTCTGCGCCTCCTCCCCACTTCCTCGCTGCTGTCACCTCTGATTTGGCTGGTGCTTTGCACTGTACTGTACCCCTCCGCCTGAGAAAATCAAGAGAATAGAAGATCGTCGGGGCGGAAGGAATGAAGCAGAGGCAGAGAGAGGAAGAATAAAGGATGGAGGAGGAGAGCGGGGGAAAAAAAGAAGGGAGGATTGCACTCGGCTGCAGAGGGGCACTGCCCGGCAGAAGGGACGGAGACACGTCCGACTTCTGCCTCTTTCTTTATATAGAGGTGAAACTAGGTGAAGGAGAAATTCCTCAGGGACCACCCAGATGTCGGTTAACATCAGGTGCTCGTGGGTACAGTGGCAGGTTAGAGGTGCCCTGTTACAAAACTTCTGCCAGGGAGGCCAAACACTTTCCAGTCACGGAATAGGCTGACATGAAATCTGAGGCACAGATGCAAGTACCTTTGTTTTGTGTCAAAGTGCTCTTAAAGATTGCACGGCGTGTGGTGTTGAATGTGTATTCCAGCTGCTGCAGCCCAAAATGATAACTTGCACTGATATTCCCATATTGCTCTGAGGTGTTTATCGTTGCACCGCTCACCTACCACAACACGTGATGGATGTTGGTTTGAAGGAGGCTGCTGAAAAGCACCACATTACGTTTATGTGGTCGGATAATACTATATTAAAACCTCCCTGTTTGTGCTCTGCTTGTATGCGTTTCCCATTCAGCCTCTGAATCTCTGCTGGATGATGTTGTGTGTAATGACAAACAGCAGTAGCTATTCAAGTCCAGCTTCATGCATTTTCTCTTTCCTGAATCTAATGCACATCAACAATGCAGTGAATAATCTGTCTTTCACTACATTACCATGAGGAGGTTTTTTTTCCGCAACCAATTAGTGAACTGACCGTTTCTTGCCCTTTGGGAAATGAAGCCAAAGTGAATCAAATATGCAGTACAGATTGTGACTCTTCAGTCAGCTGCACCTATAGGAGCTGAATCCCATTTACTCAACAATAGCAGGGATGAGCTCATACTGTCATTATTAGGAAGCAGAATATTATAGCTGGGATATTCATATGACATCCTGATTTCTAGCTTCTGTAAGCTGCTTTCTAATGCTGTTTTATTTCCATTATTTCTACTCCTGCTGCGTTTCATACATAACCCAATGTCAACATATGACTGGAGGGATGTGTTACACTTTGAACCAAGAAATCCCATTGTGGACCACTAAGGATTATGGGCCCAACTCATAATGGTAACTAGATGAGGTTGTTTCTACGTTGTGCTGGAATGCACACTGTGTGACGGTGAAGTCTGGTCACAGCAATTTCAGTCATAAGCGCCTCAGAACATGTCAGATCATCTAACAGCATCTGAAAACATTCCTCAAGCGGATTCTGAGGGCGTTTGTCCTTTTCGTCCTTATTCCCGTTTGAATCGCTCACTGAAGCCACGCAAAGGACAACGAGATAGTGCAGAGAGATCAGCAGGCTGTTATGATGCAGTACAAGGTTACGACAGCAGGCTCGACTGTATCCACGCCGAATATGTAAAAAACCTTCTTCCTTTTGCCTCATTTATTTAAGACATACTGGAACATTAAAGGGCCAGTGTGTGTAGGATTTAGGGGGATCTATTAGCAGGGATGGAAAGTAATATTCATAAAAACACTACTTGAAACTGAATTTTGTCATTAGCTTAGAATGAGTCGGCCACCGCCATGTTTCTACACTACAGTAGCCCAGAACGGACCAACCAAACACTGGCTCCGGTGAGGACATTTCCTGTTTTACTTTACCTGAAGGCCTCAGTAGTTCTCCGACATGCCTGTAAAACTGCAGTAACGAGAACCGCAGGATGCAAAGCCGTGGTCTGAAGTAGTGTTCTTATGGTAAAGATGACCTCGTTGCTGCAGCCTTGGAGAGGGAGGAGTGAGCGGAGGGATATCCAGTTGGTTGCAAACTGTAACCACAATGCTAGATGCCACCAAATCCTATACATTGTCCCTTATTCTGGTTTTGACTTTTTGGAGGAAGATATATTATTATTCAAAAAAATATGATTGGATTGCCTATTTTCTCTGCATTGTATGTTGAATACTTTGGGCTTTGGGCTTTGGGTTGGGAGAAACGAGCAATAAAAAGATGTTCTGTAAAATTGTGAATCCACAATTTTTTTGCATTCAACTTTTCAACAATTGAAATTCATCTTTGAACTTTAGGAGCACGATGAACGGAGCTTGTAACCCTCATCTCAGTATCTTCAGTGATCAAATGAAGCTGGGTGATATGTGAACCAACACGCGTCACAGATCGTAGACTGTGTAAGAAGTAGTAAGTGGACACTATTTGCTTGTCGATAATGGAAATGATTGCTGGTTGCCGCCTCAGATTACAATCCAATGACTGGAATAGACAGTTTACTAACAATGTAACACACTAGCATGTCTTTGGGGTTGGGACTCGCTGTGGTGGTTTTGTTTGTGATCTTTTTTGTGATATTTCGTTTTGATACACTTTCTGGTTGGGAGACTCTTCTTCTCTTCATTTTAATTAAATCACTGCAGCATATACCTGAGTCACACCACTTCCTGTGCAGATTAATTTGTTTTTAACGTCAGGGATGTGAAATTAATTATTTTCAGAAGAGAAAATGTGTTTGATTAGAATATGTAGAGTACGGTGTGCTCTTACTGCTTACTCACAGTAGTTATTACAGTATATTTCTGTTTTTGAACAGATTTCGGCTGTTTTGAAGTCCGGTTGCAGTTGATTATTAAGTGATTTGAGATGCTGGTGAGGTTTTCCTTCAGCGAGGTAGCCCGTAGGTTTGTGATGGTTTCATTAAGAAGCTTTGATGTGCTTTTTATCCAAATGCTTTTGAGGCAGATATTTTATTATAAAGCATCAAAGGTAAAAGCTCCATCTCTCCCTGTCGCATTATCTCTACTTCACACCAGCGCTCTTTGCTTTTTGTCTTTCTGGTATTAAAAGTATTCCCAATTATTTGTCCTCCAATGTTCACCCCCCCCCCCGTACACTCCCTCTCTCTTCTCTGCAAACCTCCCGCTGCTGTGTGAGACAAGAAAGCAGCTGAATACGGGGAAACATTTTGGCGAAATTCTGCGCTTCACGTCGTCTCTTCCTCCCTGAGTCGCCCCCTCTCTTTGTTTCTCCCCCTCCTCCCTTCCTGGTCTCTACACCTCAACAATGTGATTTCTTCTCACATCAACAGAAGCGTGTTTCTCTTTAGCACATAATCCCTGCAGTAGAGTTCTCGGCTATACCTCCGCAGCTTTGATTACTTTACTTGATTTTCTTTTCTCTTTTCTTATTTGATTTCTCCTTTTTTTTCCACAAGAAAACTTCACAAGGACACAAATTGCATGATGTCTTTTCTCTAGCGTTCTTTTTAGAGAAAAACAGAATTTCAAATACACACCTTAAGAATATGAGAAATCTCTTTTAGAAAAATGACTAATTGAATATAGTTTACTTAACCACAGGGGATTACTGTTTTGGGACATCGGGCCTTGATAACCACATTGCAATACCGCTGCATCTAAATCCTTTGCCTCATGCTCGGACTCCGGGAATCCTATTTCTTATTTCCCCTCTGTGTCCTCCTGTCTCCTCTCACAGGTACTTCACCAACATATCCATCGGTGGGCGGGATTATTCCTTCAACAGCGACGGCTACCTGTCCAACCCGCTGCTCGATGTCATCTCCTACACCAGTGGGAGAGGCTGGGAGGAGGTCAGTACACAGCTGTGCAAGTTGGCGCTAATTATAGTAGCGCGGCGGCTAGACAAGCTAACCGCAATTTCACGGCCCATCAGACACGCTGAGTCAGTTTCACCTTTCTGCTGTCTCACTGTCTCTCCCAGATCTCATTAGGGCTCCCCGAAGCCCCCCCTCCCCTCTCTCCTCCTCCTCTCCCTCCACTCTTTCGTTTGTTGGCCTTGTTAGCCAGCGCTAACTCACAGTTCAATATCGTCCCCATCGGGGGCCATGTGCAGCAGTTTTACAGTAATAGCACCAAATCCGAGGTCTGCCCGCAGAGGGCACTTTCAATTCCTTGAGACTCTCTTTGACCTGAGAAAAACAAGTAAACCTCTTTGTTCTGTCCCGCTGTGTTCCATTTGCTCCTGACCTTTTACGGCACAATATGTTTACAGGCGAGTGCAAACTCAAGCGCCCACCCCATTCGAAGGACGATAACGAAAAAGGAAAAATCAACCTTTGAAAGAGAGGAAACACATTTCTCTAACGGTGCAGCATCAGTGTGAGTCCTTGGATTTCAAAGTGTTTGCACTTCTTCACCTTCCCTCAAAGCTAAACTTCCTCTGAAAGGTGCAGTACTGTGTATTTTAGCTCCGCCCCATTGACAAATGAAGGATTCCGATTAGATTGCGTTCAGTAAGATTTAAGAAATAAGTATCTTATGTCATAAAATGCTATGAGCAGGATTTCTGTACGGTCTACAGCTGCCTTAGCAGACTGAATTACAACGCACACAATGAGGCCAAAAGCACATAGACACCACTGTCCACTGTGTGCTCCTTATTGGGTTTAATGGTTTGGTGTTCATCCAGTTGAGTTAAATTGCACTGCCAGCCTGGCTCCAACAACAAATGAAAAACTTTCCCTTATGAGTTAAAGCTGTTATAGAAATACTGTATAGATGAATGCTAATGGTTTGGGAATAAGATGACCAATCAGGTACTGCCATAGTGCTCTTTTCTGTGTATATAAGAAGTGGACGTAGTCGCCAATCAATCAGAGGGGTCGCCCCCTGATGGCCATTAGAAAGAATGCAAGTTTTAGACACTTCCGCATTGGCTTCACTTTTCAGAAGTGGAGGTTACTGCCTGGTGAGGAATGAGACATTGGAGGAAGTATCATCATAGCAACATTAAACATCAACGGTTCAACACTTTTATGTCAAATCTGTCATTTGTGGAGTCTCATTTCGCCTTCTTCTGCCAGCAGTTTCAATCCTTCTGAGTCACATGTGACTCTTTGATCTGCGCTGGCCTCTAAATCCCCCTTTTTCAGTTGTCAACATTCATGATAAAACACATTAACTTGACAGTGCCGCATAATGTTTCTCCCTCTGAACATTTCCACTAAATTCTGACTTACTGTTGGTGATTTGCATCTTAAAAACCTTGGACTGAATGGTGGAGTTTAAACTATCATCATGCATGATAGAATCTGAAACTCAACACAATCTTGTTTTGCAGAAGACAACAAGCCTCAAAGCAAGATTCCGATCAGGGTGAATAATGTTACAGACAATACTTTGTTTAAAAGCTGAGAAGTAGGCAGCACCTGTGAAAAATACAAGCGCTGCCTCTTATCATTTGATTGCTGAACAAGGAGCATTTGGTTTTGGAGATTGAGTTATTTTATTCATGTTTTTAAATAGTCTGTGCCTCCGTCTGTCTGCCTATGGTGTTTGAGTTCAACACATCCAGCCTGATCTTCTTCTGATCTTCTTCTGACAGTAGTTAACATTGCAGATGAGCAGAGCATTACGAGAAGCAGCAAGCTGAAGCACTGCTCCATCCGTGGGAACGATAGAACCGTCTCACCATTACAGTATTGGATTTTTAGTGAATGAAGGCTGAGATCCTGACAGAGGAGACAGGTTACTGTACTCCACGGAGTTTGGAAAAGATAGAGGAAGAAAAACTGTCTGCAGCCGACAGAAAAACTGACAGATACGGATTTAGTTTGCACTGCCGCTCTCAAAGGACGACTCCTGTGCTGGTCTGTTGTATCAGATGATCAGGTGAGGCTGCACGGTGGTGTAGTGGCTAGCACTATCACCTCACAGCAAGAGGGGCCTGGGTTCGATCCCCGATCCCGGGTGGTCCTTCTGTGTGGAGTTTGCATGTTCTCCCTGTTGCAGCGTGGGTTCCCTCCGGGTTCTCCGGCCTCCTCCCACAGTCCAAAGACATGCAGCTCAGGTTATTTGGAGACTCGAAATTGCCCGAATGTGAGCGTGAATGTTTGTCTGTCTCTATATGTGCCCTGCTGGCGACCTGTCCAGGGTGTACCTGCCTTCGCCCAATGTCAGCTGGGATCGGCTCCAGCACCCCGCGACCCTGAACAGGATAAGCGGTTTGGATAATGAATGAATGAATGTTGGCTGGCAATGACTCTTCAACTAAGGGACTGCAGTTTGAGCATAAATTTGAGTCCATCGTGTCGGTTATTTCCAGGCAAAGATTTGAAGGATCCTTAAGGTGACTGTTGTTTGAGGGCTTAGACCTGACACATAATGGCAAAGGACAAACAGTGTCAATACAACTCCCTCAGAGACCAGTACTTGACCGTAACTGCCTAGTGGCTCTCTCCAGCTACAATTGTCTAAACAACCCGGTGTCCCAGGCTGAATTAACCTCTCCTGAACTGAATCATGGAGTATATTTGCCAAGCACAGCAACCTTGGGGCAGACGAACAAGAGCCGGCAGTAGAGCAGTAGAGATCCGGGTCTACATTTGTAGAGAGATATTTGTTCCTGCTTTTGAGCAAAGAATATATATTCTGTAAACTTTTGTAATTACCAAGCAGGTTTTGCAATTAACCTGTTTCTGACTTTCTGGCTGCACCTCAAACTTCAAGCAACACGAAAAGTGAATCATTTATGTGGAATTTCTTGGATTTTTTTAGTGACATGAATATATTGCATCTTCAATATCAAATTATCTACACATGTATGTGCTTATGGATGCATGATTGGTGATGCTTTGCTAAATGCATCATGCATGATGCATGATGCATGATGTGTAAAAAGCACGAGGGCAGTTCAAACGCGTGCAAAACATTACAAAAACAAGATATGTACCTTTTTAGATACATTTCCAACTCTTAACCTACGTAAGTATCATTTGATGTTGTTTTCAGTAATTTATGGGATTTCTTTTCTGCATCAAATCATGTCATTGTTATTATGTGTATTTGTGCTTCAATATAATCTCAGTGCAGATTATATTGCAATCTTTTGTTGTTTTATTTTTGTTGTTTTGCTGCCAGCTGAGCCTTTTTTCACACTTTGTGAGCATCTCACCCTGTGAGTTTTCTGAAGGTTTTATGTGATGTAAAGCAAGTCATCTTACATTTGTTTGTTCTTCGAGCCAAAGCGTAAACAAGGAGGTATACAGTGGATCAATGAGTGAATACGACAAGACAGCCTCATTACCTTTATAAGCAACATGACAGAAGAGCTGGAATCCTAAATCACACAAAGCTGAATCCCATTCCAGTTCAGTTTAAAAGCGTCATAGGAATTGTACAGCCTCACAACACAGAATAATAACAATATATCTGCAGGAAGAGTTGTTAATTGATACTATTACAATAATTCAGCAGGTACTTCACAAAAAACAAGGCTTTAAAACTGACTTCCTGTCCTCACTCCCAACCAACTGACAAAGCAAATTTACACAGAATTGATTTCAGCTGATGACAGCACCACAGAAGCAATCGCTCAAGGTCCGATTCACAAAAGATAATATTCTTATGATATTACAACACAAACATGCCAATAAAGTTTTGCAGCTGAGTGCAGTTTTCTCCTTTTCATGCGTTAATTGCAATCCATTCATTTGGCAAAGTATACGTGTTGCCTTTGCGCCAAGGACACAGTAGGCAGAACAATGGCAGAGAGAGAAGGAGAAATTAAGTTTCAGACCGCTAGCTAGAGGTGCTGACGGACAAGGTGCAGAGGCTTTACTCAGAACAGGAAGTTAAACATGACAGAAAGAAACCATACCAGATTTACTATTACATTTTGTCAGTATGAATGTGCTTCAGTTAGCACCACCTTCCTGAAGACGCTGATAGTTTCACTGTAACTGCGTGGGTCTGTCTCTGATCTTTGAGAATCTGACTGGAAACTGAGCCGCTATTTGCTGGGCGGCATAGCTACGGTTGAATTTCACCCTTTGCGGGTGGTTGGAGAAGGACACAGTTCTTTTTGTCTCATGTTCGTGGGTTTAGAGGCCGCGATTATCTACGGAACCAATTCCGAATGTTTGTTGTTACTCCGATGGAAGACAAGCAAATAACACGCAACATGAAACATTTTGCTGAAAGGGACTTCAATATCATGTCGACCAAGTAAGTTGGTAACACGACTAGAGTATTGATGAGGACGCCTGATAATGGTTACATTAATCAATGATCACACACATAATTAGAAGGGCTCAGACATTATCTCAGACATTCAATTTAGCAGCTTATCTTCTTATTGCATTGTAGGCAGTATAATTAAATTGGTATTACATTAAGAAATGTAATATCCATAATACACTATTATATATATATGTATGCATTAAGTAAGATTTCTTTCAAAATCATGGTCCTCTAATTAGAATAGATTTTGAACTCGGTCCGAGTGACATTGAGTTGTTAGTCTGTCCTTGTCTCCACACGTCCATGTTTGATGCTCATTGAAGTAGTTTGTTCACGTATTAAAAATAGCTATGAGTTAAGTCGGACCTAACAATATACTGTGTGGATATTAAAGGTGTCCTGATATACTGGTATTGTCGTTAACTGGGATATTTAAAAGATAGAATAATAACATCATGTTAATAATACACATATGATAAAACTGTGTTAATGATCCAGTGCCCCTTAAAGGAGCAGCATACAACATTAATTCTAACGAACTAATTCCTATATAAAGCTATCGTGGTGTAATATCAACCTCCTCACACTCTTATTCTGAGTGTGACTGGTTTGCCAAAACAGGCAAGACACAAAGTAAACAAAGTTAAAGATGAATTTTAACGATTTTTCAAATTTTGTAGATATTGCGCTGATAACACAATGATGAATTATTTTGACCATAATATTGGTAGTGACAGTAATAATACAATGATGACAGCTCTAATGGACATACTGACCTTTGTGTGAGGAACAACTTTTTGAAGTCAGTGTGTATCAGCCTATATTGAATTAAACCAAACTTTAAATCAACCTCTATTTGTTCTGGTTGAGTTGTTACCATTATTTGTTATGTTTTTACAAGTATTCCATCATGCAGCTAGTTCACAAGCTATTTTTCTCAGAAACCAATTTCGTACTCAATTATTTACTACAATTTACAGCTGTTTTGCACTCACAGAACTGACTGAGTGAAAATAGAGGCAGAAATCACTCAAAAGTAGTAATGAATCCACTGCTGGCAGGAGTCGCATGGATGAATGCACGCCCATCACTGTCCATAATATGGCTGCCAGTCCTTCAATATTTATTATCAGTGAGGCTGTGGTTTAATTATTTCTGTTGGAAGAACCTCTGGGCTGCAGCGACCAATCCATTTCCCCCTCTGGAATTTTGAGAGTAGTAACTTTTTAGCATTTGAGGAAATAACAAGGTCAATTATTAGTTGTGTTGGTACTTAAAGAGCCTTGAATCATCTCCGGATGGGCGACATCATTGGGAAACAGAACCGAAGCCAGGACAGAGCAAGTCTGACCAACATAAAGAATCACACAACTGAAAAGCACCACGGAGAAGCAGACAGGAAGTCCAGACAGCAAAAGGTTCAACAATAATAAATATTTAAAAAACAATATCCACAAAAGTAATGAAACTTTATAGCTGATACTAAAGGTTAAAGAAGGCCAAAGTGAGTAGAATGTATCAGCCAAATATGCAATAATATGATATGTTGGGGGGGGCATTCACACAAATAACAACAAAAAACTGATACATAGACTAACTTCAGTGCAAAATCAACATTTTCTTACAAATCAGTGTCTTTGCTACCTTCCAGAAGAAAACCATATCAACAGGGATTCAGCCTATCCCTGGGATAGAACAGGTTTTTCTACAATTGCTATTGTCATCAAGTGTTTGGTCTTCGTATGAAAAGGTCCTCTGGTGCTCAGAGAGTTATGAGTTTTACCTTTGCAGCAGCAGCGGCGATGATTTGTTTGTAATGAACAGAAGAGGAGCTGCGTTACAATGAGCCGCCAAAGCCAGGCTGAACAGGCAAAGAAAAATAGATATGAAATAAAATATTCTGTAAAGCAGCTATTGGTCGCTTTGGGGTAATTAATGTCAGCATTTTGAAAGGAGGGGGCGGGCGGGGGGCAGATCAGAAAGCAATGACTGCAAAAGTAGTTATTTTTCAAGTCCATGCACAACAGAGTCTTGATTTTGTAAGGAATGCACATTGAAACATTGATTCATCCGAGTAGTGCCACCCAAACTATCGAGTCCGCTGAGCAGCGCTCCTCAGATTATTGATTGGAATGGAAATGTCAAAAATAAACATGAAGATACTAAAAATGATGACTCAGATCCATTTCTTCTTGACGGAGGGGATTGCAGTGAATACCAAAAGCACATCTCTATATGTGCTGCAGTAAATTTTTGAATGCAGCATTTTTGTATGTCAGTCAATAAACATTTGATAGAATCTGTGTTGTTCGTAAGATGTGAATATGACCTCAACTTTTTACATTAAGTTGGGTTTAGTGTTGCTGTTGTCATTGAGTCTCATAAAATTGTAATAACAAATCCAAAGGTCTGTCTGAGCTCCATGGTAACAGAGGGACAAAATACCAAATAATACTCCATCCCTGCCTTCTGCTGGGCTGGCAATCCAGGGATTCAGCCCCTGTCTGAGCAGTGTGTGTGTGTGTGTGTGTGTGTCTGCATATAAATGTAGTTTTTTTGTTGTATTTTGTGCTTAAAGAGCAGCAGAAAGCATTTACTTCAGTTCATGCAAAACATGATACAGGGGTGAACTGGAGGACAAATGTGCGTAGAAGAGCCACTTGTTATTTTGTTCCATAATGAACTGTAGGGTCTAGCTATTTGTAATTATGCAATATAGAGGGTGACAGAGAACAGAGCAGTGTAAAAAAGAGGCGCTGAAAATGCATAAAGGATACAGTGAGTGAGTGAGGTTGGTCCATAGAGCCAGGTGCTGCACATTTTCCATTAGCATCCTACTCTTGTTTGTATGTCTGGTCCTTGTGTTAATGCACTGAGGGGCCAAAACCAATAATTATGAATTATACTGTGGAAGTGTGTCAGTGCACATATTAATTTGTGCCTAGTTGTGTCTGTTAGTTTTGTGTATTTGTGTGTGTTTCTGTGTGAATGCATTTCTGCTTGTAAAGTGTATGGTGCTATGCTTGCGCCTGTTCTTTTGTGTGTGCGATGACTTGTATTCATCACGTTGTGGGGACCTCCATCTCCACAGTACATTATGAAGACTGACCTCCCATCTGGAGTCAGAAAGATGGGCCTGTTGCAACACTTTGTAACTTGAAACTCAACCTAGTGATGACTTACGTGTTTAGAAAATAGAGATTTACGCCTCTAAATCAAAGGAATTTGCACCAAATAAACTAGTTCATAAGTAGAGATTACTTGTTAAATAACAATATTTATTATTCCCCCTCCCAAAAAAAATGGTATATAATGAGAATATTAGATGACACACTTGTTGAAAAACGGATTAATAATAATGTTTAAGCATTGTCTTTAAATTTGACCAAAATAAGACATTCTCATGGTTGTTGGTTGTGTGATCTGATATTTCCCTCCCAATGAACTGCAAGCATGCTTCTCATCCTCAAACGCACTTATCTCTCCATGTAGGTATATATATAAATAAAACAAACATTGTCTTATTGACACAATATAGTACCGAAAAAGATGAAAGATTTAGAAATTTTTTTAAAAATCCCAAAAATTAGGATGAACTTTACACATAAACTTAGTAATGAATTTTACTAATAGTTGGTGCAACAAAATCCTGGTCGCTAAAAGGTAAACTGTTTATTTTAGGGTTAAGGCTTATGGATAAGGTTGGAGTGAGGATCTGGGTAACGTCAGAGGAGGATTAGGTTTTAGGGACAATGAGAAAGAATGTAAGTAAAAATGTGTGTGTTTGTGGAGCCATTTTTATCACACGGTCACAGTGTGGGGACTTATCAAAAAGCTTTTAGAGAGGAGATATAAATTAGTTTAACTAAGTTTAAGGAACATAAACTGGGAATATGCATGTAGTGAATATAGCTACGCTTTTAATAAGACTATAAACAATGTCCTCACAAGTGACTAAACCTGTGTATGTGTGTGTTTTGAGCGGCTTTGCATGATTTTTCACAAATCCCAGCAGCCGCATCTGGCACCATCACAGGAGAATTGGCTGTATGCAAATAGCGTCTGAATATATGACACTACAGCTAGAAAATGACAAAATAAAAAAGCAAGATTTGCTGTGTTGTCGCTGCACATCCATCCAGTGACTTCCTCAGTCGATATGAACAGATTTGTTTACACATGTAGGTCAATGTGACTATAAACTGTCTATTTGGTCTCAGTCTCTGCCCCAAATACCGTGCTGCTGCATGGAAACACTCAGCTCAGTTAAAGTGAACAAACTGCTCATTGTACAACACAACCAATGCAAAGACTCACAAGGTTGTTGCTTTACATCTCCCTGACAACCCATGACTAGGCAGAAAAAGCACGTAGCTATAGAAGAAAGAGAACAGAAGCAAACAACATGAAATGTGAGCCATTAAAAAACTCAAAACAGTGATAATCAATGAAATAATAGACGGATGGGCTGCGTTACCTCATAAAACACACTTTTCCAGGTTGTGTTCTGAGTTATCAGCAGGAGAAGCAGCATAATAGACCAGACACACTCTGAAGGAGCCCATTCTAGATGCATAATACAGACTTATTTTCACAGAAGAGGCTTTGGCCATAATTAGATTGACACACGGGGAGCAAGAACGGCAATTGCATGCAACCAACATACCTAGCTATTGAAACAACTGGTGCACATGGATGACCTCAAGTTCCAGAACGCTTTTGACAAATTATGTTAATCAATAGTATTCTTGGACTCCCAAAATAATTGTTTTGTACTTCTGATTTGTACCACTGGGAGGCATTCTGTTATTTGTAACCTAGCATCTACAATTATTTTTACCTCTATACCTTTATAGATGAAAACAATGTGATCGGCGGCCTCTTCTAAAACAATTAGAAGAGCTGAAGAGCATCTGTGTTTATTCCCATCCAGGTTGGCTGGTGGGAGAATGGCCACCTGCGTCTGCGTTACCATCCCTGGTCTCGTTACGGCTCCTTCCTGAAGCCTCTGGATGACTCACAGCACCTCCGAGTGGTCACCCTGGAGGAGAGGCCATTCGTCATCGTGGAGCCGGCTGACCCAGGCACCAGCTCCTGTATCCGGGACTCTGTACCCTGTCGAATGCCCGTCAACACAAGGTAACACACCACAGCCCCATGACATGAAACACATCCTTCTGAATCAGTGAATCCCTGCTGCATTGTGTTTATCCTAACTCTCAATGGTTGGTCTGTACATTTGTGTTTCTTTAACACATTAAAACGTTTTATTTTAGTAGAGATTGTATCCAAATATACATTGTCATAGAAAAAGGTCATTCTTAGTACCAGAAGGTATTAGAATGAGGACAATATGCAAACAGTAGCTGCTTTGGTGCCATTAATTAATGGTTTTTCAAACATAGTTTTTATATGTTTTGGCTTTTAACAAACTTGCCCATTAAATCCATTAAAGCAAAATGCCACCTCCACACTTCCTCCATCACCACAGTGGTGTACAGTTGTCTTTTTTCTGGTTCTTTAATTTGACTCTTTTAGAGGGGAGGAGATGTATTACAAAACCAGAAACGAGAAAGTGTGAATAGAGTTGAAATATGTTTTTGTAATTCGCCAAAGAAAGTGTCAGGTCAGGATGACCTACAGTTTATTATGGCCATAGGCAGATAGAATAAGAATAATATAGATTTGTTACATTTCCTATCTGAGAATGGACTGAAGCAGTTTTAAACAGGAGTTGGTCTCCTAGGGGTTTCCATTCTAACTCCTTATCGGCCAATAAACCTTAGTGAAAAGTTTCAAACAGTAGTAAGATAGAGACCATCCTGAAAGCAGAAGGGTCCAGACTCTGATCCCTTGTGAAATGTAAATTGCTGGCCAAACTTCCACGAACAAGAGAGTAAATCTTATCCATCTCCAGGTGCTGGTGTGCAGGGAGGATTAGACCTGAAGAAAAAAATAATTGAATCATCCCTGGGAGGAAATTACGTTCCCTCACAGAAGCTATAGATGCATTAAAAGTCATATGGCACCTGAAAGCATGCAATTAAGAACGTGGCATAATTGTGTTACAGCTGTTCATTAAAACATAAAACATAAAATAAACTTGAAACCACACAGCAAAGTAAGGTTAATTGTCTTTTTATCAATCCAGATAATTAGGAGCAAGAGATCCCTTCTGCATCCTTTCCAACGCTGCAAAAATACTGGTAACTTCAGCACGTGCGGAGTGATTCAGTCCAGTTTACACACAAGCTTTTTGCGTGTCATTTTATGTTGTTACGATGAAACGGATGCAGTTAGCTTCAGGCAACAAAACCCCTTTCTAAGTTTGGGAAATACATCTAAGTTTGGCTTAAAATAGGTAAGTAAACGGAGTAAAATGTAATCATAACGTCTTTCTATACTGCATTCAGTACAGACCAGGTTACATAAAATTGTATGACCTCAAAGATGAGAACATAATACAGATTCAATACCGATTTCCAAGGATTTGTACTATCTTATATTATGTGTCACATACAATATACCATTCAGTGGTGTTTATCCTGTTTCATGTACATATACGGTTCATTTGAGGCAAAAGTAAGTCAGGAGGAGGTGTGTGTGTGTGTGTGTGTGTGTGTGTGTGTGTGTGTGTGTGTGTGAGCTCTGCACTCCTGGTCTATCCTAGATAAGCTTCCTTCCTGCCGGCACATGACCTGGCAAATGGGAAGATAAAGACTTCATCCTCCATCAATTTTATTGGCTGAGAGAGAAAGTTGTTTCTCCTTTAAATCAATCTACTTTGACTTGCTTGTCTTTTTCCTCCCTCTTCTACATATATATCGTATGTACTTTTTAAACTTCCTCTGACGTTGCTGCAGTATGATGGCTAAGATGTTTTATGCTTTTATTTTCAATTGTTATTACCACCAAGGTCATGTTTTGTTTCTTTACTCGGGCAAAACCAAGCACTTAAACTGCCTTTTACTCTGAATATTTCCAACTTTTGATGAAAACCACCGTATACATACGACATGTCTTAATCTTAAACAGCCACTTATTGCATAATAACTGAACATCAAGTTAAAAAAATATTTATTTAATAAACAGTTAAATCAATTCAATGTGATGCCACAGTAAACTGCCTGCTTTCATCAATTCTGTGGTGAACATCGCTGTGATATTACTATCAAATTTGTCGGGCATATATGTACGTGTTATATTTAATTTAGCGATTGTGTTGCCAAACATCATGTTGAATCATTTTGTGTAATTAAACATGACGTCAATAATGTAAAATTATTTTCACATACACAGAGAATAAATGTCTGCCAAGTAAAGACCAGACTTAATTTGTAGAAAGGATTTTCCAAGATATACAAATAACACAGAGGAGTGAAGTGTGTCACCCTCGTAAGTTTGACGAGGCTTGAGTGAACAGAGCAATTGTGCAAGTTGTGTTGCTAGGTAACAGAGCCGTGGGGGTTTCCATAGCTGCCACAAGTGTCTCAGGGTCCATCAGACGGGCACTTGATATGGACAGCTGACGGAGGGCAAAGCAGCCATTTGAGTGACAGCGATCGAAATACACTTGGATTCCTTTGTGAAGTGTTCACTTGATAAAGCCTCACAGGAAAAAAGGCGTTCAGAGATCTTTGTAAATTGCAATTGTAGATGCCATCAAGAGGTGTGTGATATAAGATGGGGAATGTTTAACGATATGTTCAGTCCCCTAACAGCACACTCTCCTTCTTTTCCAATGTCTACAATAGCCAAGCAGCGAGTCCAGGTCAAAGCGTCCTTGATGAAACATCTTAAAATCTCATGTAAAGTATTTTCACTCTCTCGCCCATCTGTTTATTTCCTCACATCATCTCTTCAGCTTGGTGGTGGATGGCACAGGGCCCATGAAGCATTGCTGCAAAGGGTTCTGCATCGACGTCCTCAAGCGACTGGCAAAAATAGTGGGTTTCACTTACGACCTTTACCTGGTGACCAATGGGAGGCATGGGAAGAACATTGACGGGGAGTGGAACGGCATGGTCGGAGAGGTGAGGAGTTTGTCTACAATCTACAATTATTGTATGAGTGGAACATTGGCTTGTTAGTGAACTTTCTAGTTCAGTAAGAAAAAAAATACACTATATCAGTGTTTTTTGTTGTGTTTAATCTGGTGTTCAGTGCTACATGTACCATTTCTCTGTTCCAAAGGTGGCTAGCATGACTAGCAATTTAACATTGTAACTAAAAAGCAACAAATGTAGCCACTATATAGCTACTTTGAGGATGACTTCAACATTTTTAAACCTTTACGTTTAATTGCACAGATGATTAGAAGTCTCCTAAAAGTACCAGTTTCCTTCAAGAAAGAGTCAACATTTTTTCAAATGCATATTTTTGCGTTCTTTCCGAGTATGAGTGAGGAGATCGATATAAGTCTGAGTGTTAACTACGGAGCTGGAGCTGGGTGTGGTTAACCTAGTTTAGCATGAAGACTGGAAGCAAGGAAAACAGCTAGCCTGGATTTGTCCAACGTGAAAACAATTTGCCTACCAACATATCTACATATCATATTTGAAAGTTGCATCTTGTTTATTTATGTAAAATGTAGTTTGATGTAAACCAAGACTTACCTTCTCCTGGCTTCATCACATACGGTTGCCATGAAGCTTCTCACTCTCTGAAACAAAGCAAATAAGTATTTCCAAACATTTTAAACTATTCCTTTGAATCACCAAAAAAGATAAAACGGGTAAAAAATGTCCACTCATGAAACATTCATAGGCAATATTAAAATGTGCGGCACACAAATAAACATCACAGTGATAGCCACATGGGTGAGAGATTAAATGCAAGTTTTTAAAAATACGTGTTCGGTTGAGACTTGAAGCAGCTTGCAGACGGAATTTCCTTTAAGAGTTGTTTACTCAAACGTTTAGTAGCCCAGTTCACAAACACAACGTGACCACTTTCTTTTGTGTGCGTCTCAGTGAGATATTGTAGCTACGTATTTAATTCTCCATTTTTCCTGTACAGTAGCATCATCGTTTGTTCTTATTCTTTTTTTCTTTTGTTGTATTTACAAAAAGGGAGTTTGATTCTAGGGCTCCTGTGAAAGTCTTTTTATCCTGCCTCAAATCCTTTAAAACGTGACCCAGGAAGAGAGGATTGGATCCAAACCGAAGAAGAAAAGAGGAAATATGGAGAAGGCCTGTCAGGAAGATTAGTGCTGGAGAAACGGAGAATGAGAAAGGACAACACAGACTGTGAGACTGTTTGTACATGGCTGTGTGTGTGTGTGCGTGTGTGTGTGTGTTGGCAGATACTCCTGGTTCCATGATGCCAATCCCCCTCTGGTAGCTGGATTAATGAAGTTGGTTTAACACAGAGTCAGACGGGATGCAATGTATCACAGAATGTGCGTGTGTGTGTGTGTGTGATCTTGTACTTCTAACTTTGTGAGGACCTTTTTGAAAGTGAGGACATTTTTTTCCCGCTGCTCACTTCTTTTATTTTATATATTATACGTTTTATGGTCAATTTCAAACTCATATTTTAGTTGCTGTTCAGAAAATTACACAATTGGCAACAATTTGACTTCTCATCATCGCCCCAGTGTGTTGACAGGTCTAGGGGAGTACTGCAAGAGGGAAGACAAATAGAAGTTAAAATGTAGGTGTGCAAAGGTGGATTTTTACTTGTGATCAATATATATTTACATGAATGTGTTTAAATGTGTTGTTTGGAATCAGATTTCACAGCACCACATGTCAAACATTTTTAGGCCAAACCACTTTTTCTTAACACAAATTTGCTGTTTGAATAATTCCTTTATTGTCTTGTCTAGCTTTTTACTGATAGGAAACCTTTGCTGTGCAATCATTAATAACCTTATAATCATTCACTATGAATGTCTGTGCAAGATCACAAAATACAGCATTTATTGTGTCACTGAAAAGGAGAAGATGTTGCATTCTTATAGGAAAATACATAGGCAGCCTGAGCTGACCAATCTCCATATTTCTCCTTAGTCACCATAACCCCTGTATTCTGTTTGTGTGTGTGTGTGTGTGTGTGTGTGTGTGTGTGTGTGTGTGTGTGTGTGTGTGTCATACAACTTTAAATTCATGGCTAGGGAAACAGTAAAATAACAAGTTTACCCAACCTTTGCCAAACTGGGACTAAAACAAGGAAAGGCTGCTGAGGCACTTTAGGAGTAACAATAAATAACATTTATTTATATGAAAATGATTAACAGAGAAAAAAGAAATGCATCAGAGTCTCCAAGGGTAAAATAATAAATAAACAGCCTACAATAACTAAAAAATCAAAACTCACTTAGTCTGCCGAATCAAACAAAAAGACAATCCAAAGCTTTCTATCTCTTCAGAGATAAGGGGAGAAAAGGGGGGGGGGGGCAAAATAAATGGCAAAGACATTTCTAAATGACATGAGGTCCCCTGGTAATACTTGTCCCATGTGTAGATGGCTTATAGTGTAAATCCAGCTTCAGGGTTTTACAGAGTCACACACAATAATGTCTATGTGAATGAATACGTGTATACTCATATATCTATGAGCGTGTATGTACGTGTGGGTGGATGGACGCGTGCGTTAGCATTAACCAAACACTGACAATGTCGGTATTTGCTGACGGACCAGATGTCGTTGTTTACAGGGCTTCTGTCTCAGAGAGGCCTCAGAGATGCAGGTGCTGTTACACTCTCACTCCCTCTATCTCTCTCTCTCTCTCACTCTCTCGGTCTCCAGCTGCCTCCTGCCCAGCTTCTGTCAGTAACTCATTAAATTGCTTAATTATGGCAGCAGAATGTGTATGTGTGCACAGGGGACAGCTGAGTTTGTGTGCAAACTGTTGCATCTCACATTGTCCTGTTCTTGGTTGTTTCCTGCTACCTGCAGGACTGTTTTTTTTAACCAAAACCAGTGGTTGAAATAAACGATGTGTTAACCCTAACCCTAGCCCTTCATTTTGCATAAATAGCCAACGAGTGTAAAATAACATGACTCTGTGGGTTGGTTTTCCTCCTGTCCTTCCCGATGCTTTCAGTAACTAGCCGCCGCTGATTCTTTTTCGATTAACTAAACTCCTCTCACAAGCAAAACGTCACCAAGGCCAACGTGTCCACCGTCCTGAGGCCTGTTCTTTGTCCTTGTGCCTTCAGTGAAAGCGCCACTTGAACAATCATTTCCACTATTTTTCTAAATGTCATTCAGCATCGCAGTTTTTGTCCTCCTTCTCTACATGAATGCCTCCCATTCAGGCAGTCATTTTCTATGTATTTTTTACATTTTCTCATCCTCAGCTGAATCATCCTGGTATAATATTTTCTGTTCCCAATATGAAGTCTCTGCAGCAATTAAGCACTCACTAAACAGGAGCGTCACAGGTGTTGCTTTCAGACTTTTCAGATATTTCGAATGACCTCGTTGAATTGAATGGAATAATTATCATGGATTGATTGATCTTGACATGCAGAGCCAATCACACAGTATCAAAGTTGAATATGTGTGCGTCATCAACCTCCTGCAGGAATTAACTTTAAAAAGGCTTCAAAGACAAACTATCTGTTTTACAAACTAATCTTCATCACTTTCTTTTTGTATTCATCCAGAGAAGGTTGGCTGGGCACACGATTCAGCAGCACATTTACTTACGCTCAATCATATTCCTGCCTTTCAGTCAGCCATTAATTCACATTCCTTTCATGATTGCATTATGGTAAATTATTATAATTCATTATGATGCAGATTATGACATGATATGATCGCCGATCCCGGGTGGTCCTTCTGTGTGGAGTTTGCACGTTCTCCCCGTACCAGCGTGGGTTTCCTCCGGCTTCCTCCCACAGGCCAAAGACATGCAGCTTAGGTTATTTGGAGACCTGATGCCTGTCCAGGGTGTACCCTGCCTTCGCCCAATGTCAGCTGGGATCGGCTCCAGCCCCCCGCGACCCTGAATAGGATAAGCGGTTTGGATAATGGAATGCTGAGACTTGAAACTTGTTTGATAAAGGTTAACCCTCACAGTTGTGTTTAATAATATCATGTAATTATGTCTTTAAGTCTCCAGCTTAATGCAATAAAAGCTCTGAGATCCATGACAGTCAGCTGCCAACATTTTAACATGAGAGATAACCAAATTGGTCATTATTCATTTTTACGTTGCTTGCTTCTAGTTTTCCGGATTAAAGTTTCCAACAACGTTGTATTTAGAACCATTTTCAGCGGCAAACTCTCAAAACTCAGATTTCAGAGATTCCCAGCAGCATGTAAATCTGCCAAACAAAAGACAGATTAAAAAAAAAAAAAGTTGACTAAATGTTTGCTGTTGTGAATAAACTTTGATGTAACAGTCTAGGTCATTGGTTGGTTGGGTTTTGACCAGAAAGTGATATATCTCCTTTTATGGCAACGGTAACTTATTGAACAGAATAAGCGGCATTGTAGAGCGCTGCTTAAGAACAGTTTAGGCCCTCAATATATTTCGATTTTACAGACATACCTGGACTAACTCTAGTGACCTCACTGGTTTAACTTGGCTCCGCAGCAAGAGCAGCAAGAGCCATCATGGCTGAATAAAGAAGAATCCCTAAATCCATCCACAGAGAAAGACATGACCACGTTGCCGCTGCTCTTAAGATGTCAACAGAGAAAGAGGAAGAGGACTTTAAGGATTGTGACTTCAAGAGCCTGGTGAACGGCGTCTCATTGGTGTCTAGTCAGGGGCCGCTGAGCTTTTGTCTTCACAGACTTTTGGGGCCAGGCCAAGACTCGAGACTGATGAACTGCTGGTCAGCAGCCAGCTCCTCTGACCTCCACAATCCCTCGGCTGCAGTCAAGTAACCTCTGTTTCCTGCCAGGTGAAACACAACAGAGCTGTGAATCCCTTCAGGTCCTCACCTTCTGACCACCTGAGCCTAATTTACAGCAGTCGGCCGAGCTCTGAGGAGGAACACAGCCCAGTTTCATGTCGCATGCAGAGACAAAAGAAAACTCAGTGGAGATTACATCACTGACAAAGCCTATGAAGTGTGACGCTTTGGATTCTTATTTTCAAAGACTCTGTGCTTCTATGCACGGAGTCTTAAGGCAACTCTTTGTAGAAGGGTGTATAGTTCACAAATGTTATGTTTTACAACTATTAAATAAGAAGGAATACAGCACACAGAAAAGAGAGGAGGAAGAAAGTTGAGACAGGATCAAGAGCAGGGATTTGAACTCATGAAATCTAATTTAAATAAACAGCTTATTTTCTTGTTTAGTAAAAAATATCCTTTTCATCCATTTTTTTCAAACGTTTTTGAGCATTTTTAAGTCGTCAGACACACAAAATCTGTCTAACGACATGCCTCCTGTTTTGCAGGTGGTGTCCAACAGAGCTGACATGGCCATCGGTTCTCTTACCATTAACGAAGAGAGGTCAGAGGTCGTAGAGTTCTCCGTTCCGTTCGTGGAGACCGGCATCAGCGTCATGGTGTCTCGCAGCAACGGCACCGTGTCGCCTTCTGCTTTCCTTGGTGAGTTGTTGTCTTGAGTTAAATTCACTTGATTATTATTCCCAGAAAGTCTTTTACTCCACGAATAGGAGCAAAAAGTCAAGTCAATTCAAGTCAGTTTATTTGTATGACAGCTCAATTACTGACGGAGAGGAACTCAGCAGAGAGCGAAAAGCCAAAAACCCTGACATTCTGCTTGCAGCTTATGAGCTTGTAGTATCTAAAATCCCTGGATTATACTGTATGTGTGAGTGTTTATTCTTCAGGCACAACTATAAACAGCGAGGATAAGCCATAAAAACAAAAGTTCATTCGTATTCCCCAAAAGTGGGTTTTATAGACGCAAATCAACTGCTGCCAATAAAAAAGTCCAATAAAAGATATTCAACATAAAGCATAAAGAACATGTACTTAAATTCAAGGTGTATTTATTTTGAATGTTAAACCCACTGGGCTGTCCCAGCTACAGTACTTCATTTACATGGTGTGCTCTCTCTCTGTCCTACTTACGGTTTGTGTTTCCGAATCAAACCAAAAGGGAATTTCACTGTTTTATTTCCGTCATTGTTGTGATCTTATTTTCTCACGCAGGTTTTGATATATGGTCAAATCTTTTTCTGGAATATCTCACACAGAAAAATATAACTCTTTGCTGAGTCAACGAGAAGCTACAGTGGCGTATTACTGCGGGATAATGTTTAAGAATACAGAGATTCCAAAGTATTGACCTGCTGTTATTTTACTGCTGGTGTGGAAGATTGCTTAAATCCATTGTATTGCCCAAGTGTTTACAGGAACCAAGGGCTTCTTAGTTTACGACAACACGGCAAAAAAACATTCACAAACCACACACACACACACAAAAAGAAAAACATTCACAACCTCTTGAATATCAATATCTGGAAAACGGACTCTTATTATTACAAAACATAAACACCCTCAGGTATTGCATTGGGGTTTGTCTTAATTTGTAAAATGTACTAATTCTGTTCAAGCAAAGGCTGTAAAGATTAAAGTCCTAATGAGGTGATCATTCATGACTCCAGGTCACACAGAACAGATTATTTATTAATTACGCTCTGTAAGGAGGTGCTATGAAAATGTACAAGCCAGAAATCATCTATTCAATTAAATCAAGCAGGTTTTTTAACAATGTGCTTTTTTCCAGAGCAGTGCATGACACAAATATAGCAAAAGGTTATACAGTAACTAACAGTAGATATCCATCAATGACGGAGTCTAAAGGACTTATTTTCAGTCACAGCTCCTACAGATCACAGAAGCACGCGTTATGAAGAAAGCCAGACTCCAATCTTACAATCTTTACATTAGTTACCCGTCTGTCACAGAATTGATTAAAAAAATCTTTAATTGGTTTTTAAAATCACTGAATGGCTTTGCCCCGTCTTATCTGTCTGACATGGTGAAGAAATATGTGCCTGCTGGGTCCCTCAGATCCTCTATCTCCAGCCTCTTGATTGTTGCTTAACAACAAGAATAGGCTTATACCTTTTCTTAGCTTCTTACGTTCTAGCCCCCGAATAATTGTAGAAACAAAACAAATGTCTGCAGGAACAGTTTTTGTTTGAGGGGCATGATGCCTGATTAATTGCCTAAACATTCAAAGATCGGTTGGATTTCTGGCAAAAAGTTTGGTCGTCTGCCTGCAATGTGTGCAGTTCCAGGTCCGATTACCCAACATGCTGTCAAAGGATTATGAACTGAGCTTGTTTTGATGATACTGGAGCAATTTTTCACATGTTGTGGCCACAACAGTCTCAACATTACTGTGATATAGAACCGCCAACCAGATGGACCATATTGTCCCGCCATCTGCGGCTCCGTAATAAACTTTATTGGAATCGTCACTGGACAAAACCCGTCGGGGTTTCAGTGCTCGCATCCAGTGCTTGCAGCCACATAGTCGCCGGTCGAGGGATCAGTACGGTGTGAGCAGATTGTGGTCGAGAGAGGAGGCAGATTAAAACGCATGACATCAATACAAATGCGCCGGTTTAGAGGATCGAGGCTTGTGTCTGAAAAGTTGGCAGTTCGATCAAAGACCAACATTTGCCTCCCCTCTCATTATCACCTAAGAGTGCACTTGAGCAAAGCACTCAACCCCCAACGGCACACTTTAATGACTGGCCCAAGTGGGTGCTGGCTTTGAAGCAAACACACACACATCATCATATCATCTTGTCAAACACTGACATTGGACGACATATATTACCCAGACATCATCATTGCATATCTGAATTTGACAAAAATACCAATATCTGAATCACTGGTAAGGGCCCGGCGTTCTCCACACAACACGTTGTTGGAGGTTCTGCTCTCTGTGTTTTCAGAAACAGGCGACAGAGAACAGAAAAAAGCACATGGTTGAAATATAAAAGGGTTTTCTCATATGTGCTTTTTGGGGAGGGAGAATAAACATGTACAGACACACTTCTTGTTAGCACTTGTCTGCAAAATCGACCCAACAAATGGAAGAATTCTACATCATTAGCTGTTAGTCAGCAGTGTTGAAGTGTTAGAGACAAGATTCCACTTTATTCTGAAGATGTAGGCCTTTGAATGGGTAGTGTCCAACAACAGCCCTGATAGCTTACATAACCCTGTTGTAAATCATCCTCCATTATGGAACAGGCCTTCAGTTCTGATGAGCTTTTGTCTCCCTCTTGGAAAAAGGTTCACACTCGAGGCTTTGCATCTCAACTCAAAGCTGCCAATCTGGACTTTTGATTTGATATTCTCAGCATCCAAATGAAGCCCCACAGTGGAGAGTTTTTCATTCTCATTTTCTTTCTATTTTTTTAGTTAAGTACACGTCTCATTCAAAGTCGGCCTCTACTAAGATAAGACCTCTTAATTTACAAATCTTCTTCGACTAATTCCAGACATTTCCAAGCATGAAGAGATGGAGAGATGACTGAGGGAGAGAGCTGGAGGAAAGAGAAATTAAAACAAAAAAAGAGAAAGAGGAGGATAAAGAATATGTGTGTGTGACAGAGAGAAAGTCTTGTCATGTACGGATATAAACCAAACACAAAAGAGCGAGGGTGAGATTGAGTGCTTTTGATAAAACGAGCGATAGAGTTGCTTCAGACAGTTTCAGTCATTCTCAGATGTTTTAATCTGAGCAGAGGCTGGTTGACATGCTGCTGTGTGTGTGTGTGTGTGTGTGTGTGTGTGTGTATTGTGCGGGCCAGATGAGACAATAAGGTAAAATTAGTTGTTAGCACCTAGCAGTGCATGCAGACCTGCAAACATCTCTGAATTTGTCAAATCTGCCAATACTTAACAGAAATAGTTCTACAGCGTTGTACGATCAGAATTACAAATGACCCAGTTTCCCCTGAAGGATCAGTCACTTTCACACTGTGTAGATAAATAGAGCAAACAAAGTAAAGTCAGACTAATATGAGAAATACTTCAATTGAAGAAAAATAATGAAGAATATATAATATTAACCAGCTTATATTAATATTAAGCTAAAAATCCATTATACATTTTGTAACAATATACTGTCTAAAGGTAACATCATCTTGGTATTTTGTTTTTGGTTGGTTGTCCATCCGTCTGTCTGTATGTCCGTCTGTCTGTCTGTACGTCTGTCTGTCTGTCTGTACGTCTGTCTGTCTGTACAGCCGTCTGTACGTCCGTCTGTCTGTCTGTACGTCTGTCTGTCTGTCTGTCTGTACATCTGTCTGTACGTCTGTCTGTCTGTACATCTGTCTGTACATCTGTCTGTACGTCTGTCTGTACATCTGTCTGTACGTCTGTCTGTACGTCTGTCTGTACATCTGTCTGTACAGCCGTCTGTACGTCCGTCTGTCTGTCTGTACGTCTGTCTGTCTGTCTGTACAGCTGTCTGTACGTCCGTCTGTCTGTCTGTACGTCTGTCTGTCTGTCTGTCTGTACATCTGTCTGTACGTCTGTCTGTCTGTACGTCTGTCTGTACATCTGTCTGTACATCTGTCTGTACGTCTGTCTGTACATCTGTCTGTACATCTGTCTGTACGTCTGTCTGTACGTCTGTCTGTACATCCGTCTGTCTGTCTGTCTGTACATCTGTCCGTACGTCTGTCTGTACGTCTGTCTGTCTGTACATCTGTCTGTACATCTGTCTGTACGTCTGTCTGTACGTCTGTCTGTACATCTGTCTGTACGTCTGTCTGTACATCCGTCCGTCCGTCTGTGCGTCTGTCTGTCTGTACGTCTGTCTGTACGTCCGTCCGTCTGTACGTCTGTCTGTACGTCTGTCTGTCTGTACGTCTCTCTGTACGTCCGTCCGTCTGTACGTCTCTCTGTACGTCCGTCCGTCC